TGATATGCCCAAAGAGTGATTTATTGCTCATCCTTCACCCTGAAAGGGTTCTGATCATATCCCCATTTCACTATCTACCATAGCAATAACCAAAAGTGCTTAAATTACCATTACATCTTAAGTATGCATGTAAATTATGGAATGAAATTGTCACCAACAATTCCCATAGGGAGCACAGCTATTTTCATAAATAAATTAGGTACTTATTCTCCTAACCACTATATAATTAATCATTAATTAACTTTGTTACCCATGAAGGAAGAAGATATCTTATGAATTCTTTTTTTTTCCTCCAAAGGATGTCTAAAATAAAACTGTTCTTGGAAAAAATAGGTTAACAAAAATGGTACCAATTAACCCAGATACGTGATGGATGCCAGTTTCTCTCTGCCTCAAATAAAATGGTGTTCTGCTGTAATTTAGCTTACAACTTGTCATCTGCCAAGCTTCCTTCATTCTGGAAAGGAAGTTGATGCTGAGAGGTATTATGTTTTTGTGAATCTCAAATTTTGAGGAATAAGCAAATTCTACCCTGTAGTTAGGATATTACTGACCGTTCGAAGTTACAACAGCATTGAAAAAAATGACTTAGCACTGATTTTCACACTTACACCCATTGCAGCATCCCCATAGTCATGCGATCAACATTCAGATGCTTGGCCACTGACTCATACTTATGACGGTTGCTGTGTGATCACCTTTGGTGGCCTTTTGACAAGCAAAGTCAATGGGAAAGCCCAATTCAACTTAACAACCATGTGACTAACTCAACTGCAGTGATTCACTTAACAACTATGGCATGAAATGGGCCTTACTTGTTGTGGCCCACTGGTGGCTAGGAGAGCTGGCAGCAGAGTTTGACAGTGAGGAAGTTGGGGAGGAACATGGGCCAGTCCTGGAGGCTGAGGAAGACTCGGATGAGGGATCTGCATCAGGGGCAGAGATGGAGCCAGGCAGGCTGGCAGTCATCAGCTACTTTTGGGCTCGACAGCAGTGAGGTGGGGGAGCAGCTAGAACCAGTTCCCAGCCTGCGCATGCGCAGAGCTGCCAAAAGGAAAGAACAATTACAAACTCAGGGTCGACGTGGGAGTAAGGCCACAGGTGGATGATGAACGGTCCCTCCCATAAGGATTAAAAGAGGAGCAAAAGGGGAGGGGGCTTTTGGAGGGGGCTTTTGCAGGAAACCATTCGTTCTCTGGTCCATTATTGTGAAGATCTGTGCATCCTAGAGTCTCTGTGCCAAGCCCTTCCTTGTCAGCACTGCGTTTGGAAATATTTACTGGGCAGCTTTCCAAGGTAGATAAGGTCTGTGCTCCTAATTACACCCTTGAAAGACTGTTTGCCAGGCCATTGGCTGAATGTGAATGCAAGAAATTCACATTCATTTAATAAAAGGTGTTTGGTTGGGACAAAGAGTCTGCTTAGTGCTTTTGGGGGAAGTCTAGGACAGAACATCACTGATGTCTCGCTTAGCAACAGAAAGATTGGGCTCAATTGTGGTCATAAGTCGAGGATTACATGTATAGGCATTCATAGGTATGAGCAAGATGTTGGCCTCACAGGATAAACCAGACAGGAATCACAACCAGATTTTTTATTTTAAAGCTACATTGACAAAAATTCACAAGGTTAAAAGTACCTTATCCCTTTTATAGCCCATGAAACTATGGAGGGTCTCATGTGAGCCTCTTGCCCAACCCACTATCTAGCTGTGGGCTATGCTGTCTCTTATCTGACAATTCCCATGGCAATGTCTCTTTGCCCAGTCTCCCAAGATCTTTTCCACATTCCCTTACTCCCAGACGGCAGCAGAATCGGACAGTGGGGAAGAACACTGTCCAGGAGTCTGGGGAGGACTCGGATGAGGATCTTGCGTCTGATACAGAGATAGGGCCAGGACCATCTGAGAGTTATGTGCTGACTCTGGAGCCTCCAGAATCTGGCAGCAGTGAGGCTGAGGAACAAGGGGAGCCTGTTCCCAGTGAGCGTGTGTGCAGAGCTGCCAGAAGGCAACAACAGCTAAGACAAAAGGGGTGACTCAGGAATAAGGCTTGGAGGTGATTGCCCCTCCCCTAAGATATAAAGGAGGTGCAAAGGTAGAGAAACCTTTGCAGGAAGCAACATCATTCGCTCTGATTGGTTTGGACTTTGAAAGCTCTGTGGTGAATTTGTTCTCTGTTTGATTTTGGAAAGACTAATTGGGACTTTAGTCAGTGGCAGCACTTCAAGTCAGATAATGTGCGTTCTTATCAGACGTCTTACGAAGAACTTTGGCAGATGTCCCTGGGACTAATTATAATCGGTTAAGACTCACTGTGGGCTGTGAATGACAATAATTCACAGCCATTGAATTAAAATAAAAGAGTTTTGGATTTTATATGTGTTCGTTGATGTCTCAGGAAGCCTTGGTCAGAACAATGATAAGCATATGAAAGAAAGCCCATCAGAAATATTTTGATTACCATATTTTCTTACACATTTTGTGCTTTATATAACTACAAACGCAAGAAACACAGGTAGTCCTTGATTTACAACAGTTCCTTTAGTGACCGTTCAAAGTTACAACATCATGGAAAAAGTGACTTATGACCATTTTTCACACTTAACAACTGTTACATCCCCATGGTTCTGTGATCAAAATTCAGGTGCTTTGCAACTGACTCACATTTATGACTTTTGCACTGTCCTGGGGTCATGCAATCTTCTGGCAAGCAAAGTCAACGGGGAAGCCAGATTCGCTTAACAAGTGCTGTGATTTACTTAACAACGGTGGCAAGAAAAGTCATAAAATGGGGCATACTCACTTTAACAAATGTCTCACTTAGCAACAGAAATGCTGGGTTCAATTGTGGTCATAAGTCAAGGACTACCTGTAGACATGAAGATCCCTTAGAACATGGTTCTCCAAATTATGGTAACTTTAAAACTTGTGGACTTCAACTCCCAGAATTCTCCAGCCAGCCAGGAATTCTGGGAGTTGAAGTCCATAAGTCTTAAAGTTGCCAAGTTTGGAGATCCCTGTCTTATAACAATAAAGAAATATCTAGAATATATTAAATGATTGAGAATGATTGAAAGAACACTTAAGAGGCACACTTCTAGATTTTAGATGTTTTGAGTATTTGAGTATTTTTTGCTTTGAAACACCTTTTCAACACTGATTTTATAAAAATACCAAGTATGGGTTATTTTCTTTTTGCTACTACTTTCATTAGAGTTGTAACATTAATGAGTTAAGCAACAGCAGCTATTCTCCTTCTTCCCACGTTCTTGGGAGCAATTCGCTTTAGAATGGGATTTGACATTTTATTTCTGGGAAAAAATTCTTTGCAGAAGCTAAGTGATAGCAATACATCATGGATCTGCTTTGAACCATTTATAAAAGCTTGCATTTTGTCTTATTTGAAAAATAAAATATTAATGCTTAATTTAAAAACCAGCCATTTCTTATTAGAAAGGGAGAATGGGGTCATGAGAGAAGCACACTTAGGAAAAAGGATTTTTGAGAGTAAATGATGGAACAACCCTGGATTTCATCTAAGATTAAAACAAGTTACAAGACACAGTACAGCGTTTCTATGGTCCTTACTGTGGTACCCAAATGTAATAATATGACTGTTTGTTGACACCAACATGTGCATGGACCTCATTTAGTGCCCATGATGCTTCTCACTGAATGGATTTTTAAAAAGTATTATTTTAATAAGGTAAAGTAAAGATAAAGGTTCCCCTTTCACATACGTGGTAGTCATTTCCAGCTCTAGGGGGCGGTGCTCATCTCCATTACAAAGCTGAAGAGCCAACACTGTCTGAAACGTCTCCATGGTCATGTGGCCGGCATGACTAAATGCTGAAGGGGCACAGAACGCTGTGACCTTCCCACCAAAGTGGTCCCTATTTTTCTACTTGCATTTTTACATGCTTTTGAACTGCTAGGTTGGAAGAAGCTGGGACAAGTAACGGGAGCTCACCCCATTATGCGGTGCTGGGGATTCAAACGGCTGAACTGTCGACCTTTCGGATTGACAAACTCAGCATCTTAGCCACCGAGCCACCAAGTCCCCTCATTTTTAATAAAAATAATTAGATCATTTTTATAAATCATTTTAATAAAAATAATTAAACGGAAAGCTTAACTTCTACCATTATCATTGTTCTCAGTCAACCAATGGAACAGCAGTTGCCTTCAGAAGTTGTGGGAGCTTCAACATTAGAAGCTTTCAAGAAGAGACCGGACAGCCATCTGTCAGAAATGGTATTGGTTCTCCTGCTTGGGCAGGGGGTTGGACTAGATGACCCCTTCCAACTCTGTTATTCTGTAAAATCATTGTTATATCCAAGAATGCTTTGGAGTTTCACCTGCAAAAGATAAGAGTGTCTTGTTTAGAGGTGGGCTCTTAGAAAAAAATTACAAACAGAAATTGTAAGGGGTCCTTACAAGTGAGGGGTCCTCAATGCTCTCTGAGCTTGCTTCTTTTCTTGCAGATGTTTTATTACCAAACTAGGTAACGTCATCAGTACTCAGTCTGCATTCTGTGGATTCATGTTTTCAGACTGGCTATACTCACAAGGAGTGATTTTATGTGAGGGGCCCTCAAGCAGTCATTACACTGGGAAAACTCATCATATGCCCTCAAAATTCTAGAAGCGCGCACTGACATATCTGTACCCCAGTTGTTTGGAGGTACTTTCTTTACAGAGAAGATTCAATGGGCAGGGGTTGGTTTCACAGATCTTAGCAATGGGTTTTGTGCCTGGTTGCTGGGTGGGCGTGCCCCTAGTTGGTGTGACCTAGTCAGCCTCCTGAACCATGGCAGGGACCTCAAGCCTCCCTGGGTCCATTTCTGGAGGATCCCTGGAACCAGAAATGGGCCCATTTCCGGCCTTCTCAAACTTCCGGGATGCCCGTTTTTTGTCCTGCCCAAACCTCCCTGCACATCCTGCACTTACCTGCATCCAAAATGGGCCACTTGGAGACTCCTGGGAGGGGAGGGGTGGGCAGGGCCAGCTAAGATTGGGATCTGGGGATTCTCCAAACTGCACAGAATCTTAGCTAGGGGTTATCCCGAACCCCTGCAACACCCCTGCAGCCCACTCCTGTCTATGGGGCAATGCATAAATGCCAGTTTTTAAAAAGAGTTGGTCCAGATTTTTCTCTTCTGATCTCCACCTATGCCTCTCTATTAGCTGAACTCCACAGCAGGCAACCACTCCTCTACACACCATTAACATATATGGGTCTCCAATGTAGGTTAGTAACATTTACACAAGGCTGATGATACAAGGTAGTTCTTGACCTAAACTATTCATTTGATACAACACTGAAAAAAGTGACTTATGACTTTTTCACACTTACTCTCAGCTTTCTGACCGATGAACCCAAAACAAGGAAATGCTCTTGGGAGATTTGAATTCCCAAAGGTAAAACTTTATTGGATACACCATATTGGTACTGAAGAAACAAAACTAGACCTGGTTTTTCCACACAAATGCTTGCCTAGTTAAACAATAGCTTCTCCTTCTCTCCACCCCTTGGTGATCGCATTGTCCAATTATGAGACGTCCTTTTGTTGTGGGAACAGTCTATCTCTTTCTCAAGCACCTGCAGTGGTGACCTTGATGGTTTCCATGCTCTCATGATCTCAGCATAGCTTCTTGGCATTCCATTTCCCCAGTGTTGGGATTCAATTTTTTTTACTTCCGGTTCTGTGGGTGTGGCTTGGTGGGCAAGGGAAAGATACTGTAAAATCTCCATTCCCTCCCCACCCCACTAACCTGATTTCTAGCTCCGTTCTCCTGAGCAGGACAACAAAAGAAGACCCAGCCAATCAGCTGTGGCTGAGAATAGATGGGGGCGGGGCCAGTCAGAGGTGGTATTTGCCGGTTCTCCGAATTACTCAAAATTTCCGCTACCGGTTCTCCAGAACTGGTCAGAACCTGCTGAATACCACTTCTGCATTTCCCCCTTTTCTCTCCCCGCCCCCAAGTTCATTGGCATGTTGAAAGCATTAGGGTTTGAAAGAAGCAAAGTGGTTCAATCTTGACACTTATAACCTTAGCAGTGTCCCCCATGGTCACATGATCAAAATTCAGGCACTTGGCAACTGACTCACATTTCTGACGGCTGCGGTTTCCTGGTGTCACGTGATCACCTTTTGTGACCTTCTGATAAGCAAAGCCAATGGAGAAGCCAGAGTCACTGAACAGCTGTGTTATCAGCTTCACAGCTGCAGCGATTCACATAACACCTGTGGCAAGAAAGGTCATAGAATGGGGCAAAACCTCACTTAACAGCTCTCCTACTTAACAACAGAAATGTTGGGCTCCATTGTGGCCGTAAGTTGAATACTACCTGCCTGTCCTTCATTCAGTGATTTATATGTAACGAATAACTTTATTATACTGACTGAGTTTGTTGCAAAAAGTCCAAAGCGAGGAGTTGTGCTTATTTCTGATCATCACACTGTGGAAGAGATGAAGTCATTGAAGACTGAGCCATTAAAACAGCCTGCAGAGCATTCCTGCAATTTGAAATGGTTTCCTTCTCTTAAACTTTATCCGCTTCTTTAAGATACAATAAGGATTTTGGTATTGACTAAATCATTTTTGGATCACATCACTGACAGTTCTTTGCCCTCAACTCTGTTAGCCAGGCATCACAGGACATGAGGTTCAAAACATCTGAAGCGCATCCGCTTTGCTGACTTTGTTTTAAGAATAAGCAACAGAGTGGTCAACGCCTGGAATGCCCTACCCGATTCCGTTGTTACAGCCTCAACCCCTCACAGCTTCAACCTCAAACTGTCTACCATGGACCTCATCCCATTCCTAAGAGGTCCTTAAAGGGGGCGTGCATAAGCACACCAGCGTGCCTACTGTCCCTGTCTTACTGTCCCCATTTATCTCTATTTATTCCCATTGTCTTGTTTATGTTCATACTTATACTTGTTATCTTGTACATGTTTGACAAACAAACAAACAAACAAATAAATAAGTAAAAACTTCACATCCCAACAAACCGTAAATATAAATTTTAAAGGAGATGCACCATTCCAAAATGTTTCCCATTTCTACCCATCTCAAGACAGGAAGAGAAGAAGAAAAAAATATATACATGCAATGCATTAGATTAAAATCTGGCTAGAGTGGCTGCAAACAATGTCAGCAATCGCATACAGAATTGACTGATGCTGACTTTTGCTTAACATGCTTCTCAGATTAATCTTTACTGATCAGGCATGTCTATTCTATTTTATCCCCGTTTTCAGCCTCTTAAGAGCTCTCTTGATCTACTATGTGTGGCTTTCTAACTTCTTTGAATTCCCTGGTCATATTTTTCTGCTAGGAGCATACTTGCTGAATCCTTTTGTAATGCCACCATTTGTTATCTAATTACTATACAGCACATGCACTCATTCTGGTTATATAACTCTTTTTTACCTTTAACCTGAATAATACCATGTTAAAACACACAAACATATAAATATATGAATATGTCTCACCCCACAAAACCCCACAGCTAGAAGTACTTAGTGCAGTTTGAAAAATCACATTTCCAGGATTTTGAACATTTACTGCCTCTTCCCCAGAGATATTACTTCACTTGTTCTATATTATGTTGTAGAAATAGCAGGAGTTATCAGAAATAAGTCCACCCAACCATACAGTTGGAAGGAACACTGAAGGACATCTAATCCAATCCATGCTCAGTGTAGGATGCAATAGGGAAGATATGTCCAATCTTGGCAACTTTAAGACATGGCTGACTGGGCAATTTTGGGAGTTGAAGTCTACAAGTCTTAAAGTTGCCTAGGTTGGACAGACCTGCGCTAGGGAATCTGTAAAAGATACTTCTCTAGAGTCTGTTTAAAGACCTCCAGAGGATGACCTCTTCATCTGTTCTCTTGTTCTCCTGGCTGTTTACTCTTATAATCAGGAAGTTCTAGATGAACCAGGTGAAGTTCCTGGCTGGAGCACCAATATCTGTGCCAAAGTTGTTGGAGAAGGAAGGAACCAGAGGTGGTATTCAGCAGGTTCTTACCAGTTCTAGAGAACCAGTAGCAGAAGTTTTGAGTAGTTGGGAGAACTGGCAAATACCACCTCTGACTGGCCCCACTCCCATCTATTTACTGCCTCCCGAGTCCCAGCTGATTGGTTGGGTCTTCTTTGGTTGCCCTGCACAGGAGAACAGAGCTGGAAAGCAGGTTAGTGGGGTGGGGAGGGAATGGGGTTTTTGTAGTATCCTTCCCCTGCCATGCCCACCAAAACACGCCCACCAAGCCATGCCATGCCCACCAAGCCACACCCACAGAACCAGTAGTAAAAAAATTTGAATCCCATCACTGGAAGGAACTTAGTACAAAACCAAGAGCACATAGGCAGAAAAGAGGAAAATGCTGTAAGGCAGGATGGAGATGCCATGAAGAGAGAAAGAAGAAACAGAGAGTGGGGCTGCGGATACTTTATTTACTTGATTTCTATAGTCACTCATCTCTTACAAGTGACTCTGGGCAGCACTTGCCTATATTATTAGCCTGAAAACTTGAATTTGTTTAGCTGACTTGTCTCTCACACTCTCCTAATCTATTATAAAATGCAGTTCCTTCCTTCCCCCAGTAGTCCAACACGTCCCATTTTGGGTTCTACTTTTCTTCTATCACATGTAGAAGAAGTGCTAAGGAGCTTAACCTTCTCAATTATTAATTTACCCCCTTGTGAATTTCACCCTTTCCTACAGTTCTTACGGATTCCAGAAACCACCAAACATTCTTTGGTTATGGACCCTTCCATTCTCCAGATGTGTCCCTGTTTCTCTTCAGCCTTTTAGAGAGCTTCCCTCTATCCACATTGGCCTCTTTAGATTCCTCCCAATTTTCTTTCTTGTATGGCAGACGTTTTGTAAGATTCCCCATCTTTTCCATGTCTTTTTCTCCTCCATGATTTGAAGCGTTGGGTTTTTTTCACCCACTTTTCGTTGAGACTCATCAGAATCTGTTCTTCTGAAGTCTAGTACGGAGGTCTAACTTTTCACAGTTTCTTCTCCCTGGAGACCACAAATTCAAGGATAGCATGATCGTTTCCCCCCTCCCCAAATACTTGCATTGTCATTTTTTCAACCCATTCTGCCCCGTTAATGAAGAGTAGGTCCAAGACAGTGGATCCCCTGTTCTGTTTTCCACCTCCTGGCAAAGGAAGTTGGCAGGAAGAGAGGACAAGAAATCATTTGACCTCTCAGTCTTGGCAGAATTAGACTGTCAGCGGATGTCAGGATAATTGAAGTCCTTCATTATCACTCTAACATGCCTCTTTGAAGAGCTGACTGTCTAATGGAGAAAGGGCCTAATCTGTATCGTCTGCCTGCCCGTGCAGCCTATAATAAACTCCCATAACAAGAGCAGTGTCACTTTTGTTTCTTTCTCTCTTCATTCTTACACAGACGCTTTCAGTACTTCCATATCACAGTCCTTGAATTCTGTGCGAGCCTTCCAGCGTGCCAATCACAGAGCATAATTCCACCCAATTTCAGTGATGCCTACCCCACTCTGGTTGTCTTTCTGAATTAGAAGCTCTAGTTCTCAGCTTCTTTTCCACCCTCTGTGCAATGGTGTAGAAACATCTGAGCTTTGGAGTGGCACCACCTGCCAGCCTTATTGTTATGGTTACCCATGAAACTCTGAGTCCCCACCTGATCTCCTGCTTCTCTCTTAGTGTTCTGTTTTCTTGGCTGCATCTTCAGCTCTGGATTTTTGACACCCTCCTGTTCCCCCCTCCCTAGTTTCATGAAGTTTCATTTCCTAACGAGTAGGATGCCTGCCAAATGCTTCATTTTCAATTTTCATAAAATGCCACTCATGTCTTCCCAGAGCTCTTTACTGCTTAAAGTTAGCATAGGGCCTTATTGCAGAATCCATACCTTTTTTATTATTATTACTTAAAAAAAATAATTTTCTTTTACAAAATGACCATCTTTCAGTTCAACGGTACATATATCTTGGGCACATATTCATATTTGATATACATTTCATGCTATAATATCATTAAAGTTACATTCATATTAAAAATTCCATCCTTTTTTCTCTTATCATTATAGTATTCTCAT